TATATATGCAAACTATTGGCTTATGTATATTAACTTTGTATCCTGGAACCTTGCTATAATCACTAATTAGTTCCAAGTTTTAGATCTTCTACATAGACAGTCATGTGATCTGCAAACAATTTTATTTTTTTCCTTCCCTGGTCTCTATACCTGTTATCTCCTTTTCTTGTTTTATTGTGTAATCTTGCTTTGTTCTTAACTTAGCAGGAAAGCTTCAAGCTTTTCATCATTAAGTAAGATGTTAACTGTTTTTTGTAGATATTATCAAGTTGAGGAAGTTGCCCTTTATTCCTAGTGTGCTGAGGCTTTTTAATCATGAATGGGTGTAGATTTTGTCAGATGCTTTTTTGCGTCTATTTATATGATCATGTGATTTTTCTTTTTTAGCCTGTTGATGTAATGTATTACATTAATTGATTTTCTTATATTGAACTAGCCTTGCATACCTGGGACAAATCCCACTTGGCCATAGTGTATAATTCTTTTTATACATTATTGAATTTGCTTTGCTAATATTTTTTAGAGGATTTTGCATTTATGTTCATGAGAGTATTGGTCTTTAGCTTTCTTTATTTTTTAATTATTTTATTTTATTTTTTGCTTTGTCACCCAGGCTGAATGAAGTGCAGTGGTGTGATCTCAGCTCACTGCAACCTCCACCTCCCAGGTTCAAGCGATTTCTCCTGCTTCAGCTTTCCAAGTAGCTGGGATTATAGACGCCTGCCACCACGCCCAGCTAATTGTTGTATTTTTAGTAGAGACAGGATTCCCCCGTGTTGGCCAGGTGGTCTTGAATTCCACCCATCTTGGCCTTCCAAAGTGCTGGAATTACAGGTGTGAGCCACTGTGCCTGACCTCATTCTTTTTTTCCGAGATGTTGCCCAGGCTGGCCTTGAAGTCCTGGGCTGAAGCCATCCTTCTGCCTCAGCCTCCCAAGTAGCTGTGATCACAGGCACATACCACTAGGCCCACCTTAGTCTTCTTTTTTGTAATGTCTTTGTCTTATTTAGGGTAATGTTGAGCTTATAGGATAAGTTAAAAAGAGATTGCTTCTGGAAGAGATTGCAGGAAATTGGTGTAATTTCTTCCTTAAATGTTTGGTAGAATTCCCCAGTGAACCCATCTGGGCCCAGTGATTTCTGTTTTGAAAAGTTGTTAATTATTTATTCAATTTATTTAATAGAAACAGGCATGTTCAGATTGTCTATTTCTCATGTGAGTTTTGGCAGGTTTTATCTAAGAAAACAGTGTACATACCTTAATTTAAAAATACTTTAGGCCAGGTATGGTGGCTCATGCCTGTAATCCAGCACTTTGGGAGGCCAAGGTGGGTGGATTGCCCTAGCCCAGGAGTTCGAGACCAGCCTGGGCAACGTAGGGAGACACTGTCCCTACAAAATATTTAAAAATTAGCTGGGCATAGTGGCACATGCCTATAACAGCCCCAGCTACTCAGGGGACTCAGATGAGAGGATCACTTGAGTCTGGGAGGTTGTGGCTCACACCCATAATCCCAACCCTTTGGGAGGCCAAGATGGTAGGATCACTTGAGCCCAGGAGTTCAAGACCAGCCTGGGCAACATAGGGAGACCTCGTCTCTACAAAATAAAAAATAAACCTGGCTGGGTATGGTGGCACATGCTTGTGATCCAAGCTATTTGGGAGGCCAAGGTGGGAGGATGGCTTGGATCTGGGAGGTAGAGGCTGCAGTAAGCTCTAATTGTGCCACTGCACTCCAACTTGGGTGACAGAATGCGACCTCATCTCAAAGCAAACAACAACAAAAAAACTTTACCGGTAAAAAATACTGACCCAAAGATACAAAGTGAGCACATGCTGTTGGAATGTTGGAAAAATGGCACTGACAGACTTGCTTAGTGCAGAGTTAACACAAACCTTGAATTTGTAAAAAAAAAAAAAAAAAAAAAAAAAAATGTGGTATCTGCAAAATGCAGTAAAGTGAAGTGCAATAAAATGGTTGTGTCTGTACTGGTTTTGCTAATGAGTAGAGATACCTTTTGGGTGAAATCATATGTCGGTGAAAATCCGCCAGTGACCTGGCCATCCTTCATGTGGTTTCTGTTGCTTAGCACATTATTTTGAGATTCATCTGCATGGTTGCATGTATCAATAGTTTATTTCATTTTATTGCTGCATTATATTCTATTCTAAGGGCATACCATGGTTTGTTTATCCATTCACTCATTGATGGCCGTTTGGGTCGTTTCTGTTTTTGGCTACTGAACTTTCCTTTTTTTTTTTTTTTTTTTTTTTTTCTTTGAGACAGAGTTTCACTGTTGTTGCCCAGGCTGAAGTTGTGAACATTTTTGAACAAGTCTTTGTGTGGACATAGGCTTTCCTTTCTCTTGAGGCACAAAATTGCAAACCACTTGATGCCTTACAGTAGGGCAGAGATCTGTGCAGGTGCTGAAGGATGAGTAAGTAGATTGTGGGAGGGACACAGAACTAACCACAGATGATCCAAGCATAGGCACCAGGCATTGAAGTGGTGGCACACTTGATTGCAGGCTTCTTTCTTTTTATGGGCTTTTCGTTTTCTCTCAGGATAACGTTCTGAGTCTTTCTGGTCTTCTTCCAACCTCTCACATTTTCCCAATTTCTCCCTGCCAGGGCCATTAGCTGTGTCAGACCCTGCTCTTTAATAAGAATAAAGAGTTGGTGATGGAAGCTAAGATGTGTTGCAAGTTTGGTGCAAGGACTCACATGTGCAGTCTACATGTGTTACTGTGTGTAATCCTTCCAGGAACCTACACAAAGGAGGTATCATTATCATCCTTACTAAGCATTAAGGAAAACAAGGCTCAGAGAGGTTAAATCGCTTGTTCAAGATTACACAGATAGTAAGTGATGGGTTAGATGTTGAACCAGACTTCAGAGCTGGCACTTTGAACCTCAATATTGTGATTAATATACCCTCTTTGAAAAGCTAGATCATGTATGGTGTTTACGATGCCATTTTAAACTGTTCTCCCCATCATCTAGTTAACTCTTGTATTCCTAAATTACTGTGTCAGTCCGATGGCCTTGTCCCTGGTAGCCCAACTAGCTCAGATCACCCTGGACAGTATCCCCAGCAGCAGGTACCTCTCACCCAGCCTGCCGCGGCCCTTGTGCTTGATTAATGCCCACTGGGCTGTGAGCACAGCACAAGTGTGGGCGCCATCCTTTGCTGCCCTGACTGTCCACCACTTCAGAGTGCCAGGCTCTCGATAATGATCTCTGAATGAACCAGGAAAATGAGTGAATGAGTTACATTATCGGATGTGCATATTTATCATCAGCTTTATTGAGGTGTTTGTCAGCTTTATTATTTACATCAGTTTTATTGAGATTATTTACATATGACAAAGTTCATGGATTCTAAGTGTACAATTGAGTGAGTCTTGACAAATGTATGCCATCGTGTAACCACAGCCACATCAAGGTAAAGTATGTTCCATCACTCCAAGACCCTCTCCTGGCCCTTACAGTCAATCTGCTCCACCCCCAGCCCCTGGCAACCTCTCTCTATTCTGTGTTTCTGTCCTTAGAGTTTTACCTTTTCTAGAATTTTAGACATGGAATTCATAGCATACTGTCTTTTTTGGATGTCTTATTTAACATAACAATCCTTTTGAGATTCATCTGTATTGTTGCCTGTATCAGCAGTTCAATATGTGGTTTTAAGACTGTTTGGAAACAGTCCAGAGATAGCTTGTCCCACTGGATTTAGAGTCGTATGGTAAGTTAGAGCAGTGGCCCTACAGGTGTGCCCTTGGCACTCTTTCGTTCCCAGATCCTTGCAGAGGGTCAGTAAGGTCAGACTGATTTCTCTAATAGTGTCAAGGTGTGATTTGCCTTTTTTCACCCTCCTCTCATGGTTGTGCAGTGAGGTTTTCCAGATGATATGTGATATGTGAATTCACAGCACATTGCATGCAGAAGCAGATAGGAGAGTCCATCTTTCTGTTAAGCTCTCTGACTTAGAGAAAGGTGTAAAAATGTTAATGTCACTCTTCTCACTAAAATTTTTTGTTTTTCTCCTCACTAAAATTTTTTGTATTGGAGAATTATTTTTCATAACAAATACCGTTTATAACAACATGTAATGGATTGTTATTATTAGATGAATTAATAGATATTTTAAAATGTCTTATCTTTAACTTCTCATATGACAGATCATCATAAATATAAACTGTTTTTGACTGTCTGTCAAATGAGAAGTTAAGAAACTCTTTGAGCAGAAGCTCTGTAGGGTCCTCAATTTTGTACTGTAGAGAAGCCCTGAGACCAAGGAGTTTGAGAATCACCGGGTTAGAGATAGTTTTGAAAGGAGGTTTGGGAACATGATAAGAACTCTGGAGCTGGAGAGGAATTAGAAGAGGGTCATGAGACCCTGGGCTGGCGACCTGGCTTGACGGGCCTGGAAAAGGGTCCTCTGTTGAGTGGGTACAGAGGGGCTCGCCCACACGTAAATGCAAGGACACACCGTGCCAGTTCTTAGCCTCCTGCTCTCTGAGGACCTGGTCAGGCAGGTTCTGTTGATGTCCTTGGTCTGCGTACTTCCTACCAGGAGCTAATGAATAACCTAAGCCTGCCTGCAGTTGGCTCACAGAAGACTGATGGGGAGGCCTGAGGAGGCCGCTCTTCCCTGATATGAGGTTACAGCTGGGGTCTGATGTCAGGTGGGGGGCATTGTGGGGTCTGCTTTCTCTGCTGGATTCTTCCGCAAGGGCGAATGTAAGAAGTCATTGGCTATTTCTTTGTCTTTCAAGAAAAAAAGTTCCTCTTACCCCCAGCAGAGTTCTAAGCTCAAGTTAAAGACTATCTAAAATAATTACTTGAGCAAAGGCAGGTGGGAGGCTACTTTTATTATTGGCAGTATCCTCGTGGAAAAAAAAATACATGTGTCTCTTTAGGGATTTTCATAACACTATTGACAAACTACAGCAAAATGACACCTACTGCCTTTTGACTGATTCATTGCTTTTCTCTTGCAGGCGAAAGGGCCTCTGGTTGCGCCTGAGGAAGATACTCTTCTGTGTTTTGGGGTTGTACATTGCCATTCCATTTCTCATCAAACTATGTCCTGGAATACAGGCCAAACTGATTTTCTTGAATTTCGGTAAGTGGTATGTGTCCATTTTTCCTTTAATTTTAGTAAGGGTTCCTTTTCATGATGATGTCTGATTTTAGGGGGAGTCTTTTTACTTTAATGGTGATTTAGTTTACATGCAGTGAAGGGTATATATCTTAAATGTACAGTTTATATACCTATATCTTTAGAGAGAGACAGGTAGAGCTACCACCCAGATTGAGAAATAGAACACTTTTATTACCCGAAAGGTCCCTGTGCCCCTTCCCAGCTGGAGGACTTTCTGTGCTAGTGTTGCTCTCTGGTGCTGGATTTGTGTCCACGGAAGACTACACTGCACTGGGGGCCCAGCGTGTCTGTCTTCAGCTGAGGTGAGTAAAAATGTTGACAACCTGAGAAGTCAGCTGAAGCCATCATGTTGGAGATGCCTTGTCAGTTGTGCATTCTAGGAGCCTAACTGCCTTTGGAAAAGATGACCACTGAAAAATATAGTTTCTTTTTGAAAACAAATTAGTTTTTTATACCCTTAAAAAATCCAGATATACAGTACTTTTGTTTCTGTGGAATTTTGTGCTGGTCTTGTAGGTATTGTAGTCTCCTTGAGTGAACTTGGATCTTGTGTGTTTTTTCACATTGTGTATTTGCTTTTGGAGATGTGGAAGGAGAAAGGTGCAGATGTATCAAGCCCATGAGGTCGAAGGCAGAGGCTCTGGGCACGTGGCCCTGGGAACAGTCCTACAAGCGAGGCTCCAAGGAAGGGGCTGCATCTGTGGGTACGAGGTTTGAGAACAACCTCGAGGTTGTTTGAGAACAAACGAGGTTGTTTGAGAACGAGGGCTTGCACACGGCGGGTGTTCTGTGAAGGATAGCCTGAGAGGCAGGTGCTGACAGCATTAGAACAGGATGAGGCAGGGGCTCTGGGGTCACTTTGTGGCTAGATTGATTTGCACATAGTGAGTCTGGCCTTGCGTGTTTGGGAGTTTAAGGCTTGCAAAGCTGGGCCTGATATTGCTGAGGCAGCAGGTGAGCTGGCGGGGTGGGAGGAGGAGGAAAGGAGGAGGCCACAGAGGAACACAGGAGGTACTGGGAGGCTCCAGACTCCCTCTGCAGGCATCGGGGCTTATGAGTTTGGGTGTTCAGTCTATAATAGACTTAATCACAGAAACTTAGGAAATGACTGGCTAAAAAAGGAATTTCTGTTTGTGTGTTTTTGTTTTTGTTTTTTTAATGCTGGTAAGAAGAACAGAAATTGTAAGGTTATTTAATACTTTGTAAATCTGACTTTTAAATTTGGGTGTCTTAATTGTAAAACACATGTAGTGTACTAAGAGGCATTTGATTTTCTAACGGAAAAGTAGAACTTCTAGGAATTTTTCATCTCTAAGTTTTGCCACTTGTAAGAAGCACAAACTCAAAAAGAAACTAACAGTATACCAAAATGATAAGAGTTTTGTTTTTCTGACTTTAATGTTCCTTAAATATACATAGTACAGCCCAGAAAGGATTTGGGGCTTAGGTATAAACACGAAGCTACAAGGACTGCAGGTTCACCATCAACAGACCTCAGACTTGACCCTCACAGCTTTTGCACCTTTGCTGGCCTCCTTGGGCAGGTGCCTTTGCTGCCGGGCACGTGAGCTGGTTCTTAAGGGAGGATGTGTGGGGTGCATTGCCCTGTGTGGCCTAGTACATTGTGGGCTCCCAGCAAATGTTTGAATTGAATAGATTTTCTTTAACTTGATTGTTTGGGCTACTGTAGACACACAGCCTACAGATTTTGCTCTGTAGATTTCCTAAGGAAGTGGCAGACTGCTATGAGGGAGAACTTTGGGTTCTCCTGGTCCAGCCCCGTGGGAGAGTAGGGCTGGGCTTGGGTAGGGGAGGCTGAGCCTCCCAGGGTGTTGCCCATCCTTAATGATTTCCTTCCACCTGTTTGCCACACTGGAGTAGGAGAGCCTACAGTGGCATTTTGTTTTGTTGTTTTGTTTTGTTCTGAGACAGGGCGTGGCTCTGTTGCCCCAGCTGGACTGCAGGGGTGTGATCATGGCTCACTGCAGCCTGGACCTTCCAGGTTCAGGTGATCCTCTCACGTTAGCCTCCTGAGTTGCTGGGACTCCAGGCACCCACCACCACAACATCTGGCTAATTTTTTATATTTAGTGGAGATGGGGTTTTGCCATGTTGCCCAGGCTGGCGTCAAACTCCTGGGCTCAAAAGATCCTCCCGCCTTGGCCTCCCAAAGTGCTGGGAGTACAGGCGTGAGCCACTGCACCCAGCCCAGTGGTGTTTTTGAAAGAGATTTTTAGTTGCCAGTATGATAAAAATCTGTGTTTCCGGCCTTTTTTGAAAAGTTGACCAAAGGTCTAGCACCAAGAAACAGTGTCCCTGGGAGCAGCGATTGGACATGCATTCTGCCTCACCCCCCCCCGGGCATCTGCCTGGCCCCCACACCCTACTCCTCCCTCCTCTCCATGATGAGCGACCCTCATCTCCAGGCCGCACTGTCCTCCCCAGGAAGCCACAGTGTATTTTGTCAGCGCGTGAGGCCCTTCCAAGTGTGGGTCTCTGTCTCCCCCTTTGGGAGGAAGGGCAGTCATCAGAGGAGCAGCATGGAGCCTGTTGGTTTTCCAGTTGTAATGTGCATCCAAGGTTTACAGGTCTGTGCCTGTCTGTGGCGCCGAGGAGGTGGGGTCTGTGGCGTGGCCCTGCAGTGATTTGGAGTTTTATTGGGGAGGTGCCTCTGCTCTTGTCTCCAGACAAGAAGCATGACCTGGGCATCCATTCAACATTACAGGAGGAGTAGCAATCTCTTGGGCCCACAATGTGGTTAAAATGTTCTTCACAGCAAATCTATCTGAAACCAAATGTATAAATTAGATAAATAAGCTTTTAAAGAAACATAGCAACTACAATTTAAGGCATTATTCTACTTTAAATAAATTTTCATAAGCAAAACATCTTGATTATTCTAGAAACAAAAAAAGAACCCTCAATAGTATAAATAAGAAAATGAATATTACTCTGAGAAAATCCTTGTTAACACTGTAGTTTATTTCCTACTGACCTTTTTTATATGTGTCCGTTTACATACACATAAATATATGTGCTTTTCAATACTTGTATTCACAGTCTGATTCCACCCAAAAGATGTTTGGATGAGACCCAACATTTATGAAGCCTAGAATATCTTCCCAGCCGTTACTTGCCTTCAGATCAAGAAGGAATCTCTTGGTGAAAGTCATGTCTTGGTTCAGAGGCTAGGGAGGGATTTTTTGGAAATAGGTCAGATCTATCATCATGCATTTGTTTTTAAAGCAAAGGGCCAGATTCCTCTTTGTCCTTCCCCTGAGCAGTCCCTGTTAACTCCTGTTTCCTTTCTTTTCTTGTCCCCCTTTTTTCACATGGAAGGCCCTGTAAGCCTGCATCAGGTAATTGGAATTTGATAAAACCCAAATAACCAACCCAGGCTTTCCCTTGTTGACACCACACCTCTTATGGCTGCCCGTATCAAGGCTGCTCTGTTACTCACAGGGATTGGAATGAGACTTAGCCCCGTGTTCAGACCCTCAGCACTCAAAGACCATCACAGCGCAGTAGTTTCAGCCTTTCCCCCACCAAATATTTTGCAAGTGAGCTAAAAGAAGTATGACAGAGCAGGTCGTTTTCCACCCTCACATTCTAACTCCTTCACCCTCCACAGCACCCGTGCGTGCAGAATCCATTCTCCATCCTGCCTGTTGATGTTTGTGGTTGCTGGTATATGATGACATAACTGGAGGGTGGACAGTGAAAACTGGGGGAAGCAGGAGCAGCTAGAGGCCTCAGTCCCGGCAGCCCTGTGGGCCTTGCTTGCCCATGGTGCTGGGGCCCCTATGAGGAGCTCCCAGTTCAGAAGAGCCTGTGAGAGGGAATCATGGGAGAGCTGGACCTCAGTGGTGGCACACTGCCCGGGCCACTCCTGTGGGGCTGCCACGGGGCTGAGCATTCTATCCCCACCCCAGGCCTGTGGATGAAGCAGGGACCTGGGCAGGGTGGACTCCAGCCAGCATGCCAGAGTCACGGGGGCCACAAAGAGTCGGTGTCCATGGGTGATCTGACCACGTGGGAGGCCAGAGGGTCCTGGCACTCGCCTGGCACTGGTCTGCAGGAGTAAGCCAGTAGTGCTTCTGGCCCTGGGTGGATCCTGTGACCCTGCGCACACCAACCCATCTCACCACCCATCTCACTTCGAAGCATTTCTGCTCATTTAGAATAATACTGGCCAGGTGGTTCCTACAGCCATCCGCTCTGGGGCTGTGTGATCCCTTGGACCAGCCAAGCTCCATGCTTCCCATGCCACATGACACTGGTTGGAGGTGCTGCTGTGGAAGAGAAGGTGCCAGGCAGTATCTGGGGGACTTCAGAGCAGTCACTGTGCCTCCTTTTCATGGTTGTTTCTTTTTTCTTTTTTTCTGAGACAGAGTTTCGCTCTTGTTGCCCAGGCTAGAGTGCAGTGGCACAATCTCAGCTCACCGCAACCTCTGCCTCCTGAGTTCAAGCGATTCTCCTGCCTCAGCCTTCCTGAGTAGCTGGAATTACAGGCATGTGCCACCATGCCCAGCTAATTTTGTATTTTTAGTAGAGATGGGGTTTCTCCATGTTGGTCAGGCTGGTCTCGAACTCCTGACCTCAGGTGATCCGCCCACCTCGGCCTCTCAAAGTGCTGGGATTACAGGCATGAGCCACCACACCTGGCCTCGTGGTTGTTTCTAAACCGAGTAAAAGTGAACTGAAAGACCAGCTTCCTGGAATGAGGCCATCCTGGAGTAGAATTTGGCTTCCTAGTTCTTAGATTTCTTGGGCTTGGAAGCTTTCTGGATTAGCTGCTAATCCTTGTAAAATACTTTCAGTGGCCAGGGAATGCTCTCAGAACTCTTGGACAGTTTGTGTCCCAAGAGCTTGGCATCCTTCTCCAGACACAGAACTGAGTGAGGCCTGAAGCGGAGCCAGTGGAAGCCCAGTGTCCTCGGCCCTCAATGGTGCCCACTCCC